GAAATGTTTATTCTTTCCCAGGAAGGAGTGGGCAGGATGGCAGCACTGTTGACATTTTACCATCCTCTGTGTTGACACACATGCAGCATTAGGTTTGAACATGTGTGACCTTTCAAAGAGGAGTGAAGACAACCTATTATTCTTTACAAATTCTTTTGTTGGGGGGGGTAGAACCAGAGATCCTCCCTCTTTTCTGGAGTCATTATTATGAGCAGTGAAAAGAAAGGAAGTAACACTTAGGGAGGAAGGGTCACCTGCATTATTGTGGGTATGAGTCACAAAGAGGGGATGTGGTGGTGGCCTTTGTTGTGTGTGGGTCCACTGACTGTTGTGGGGTTTGCATCATGCATGATGTGGGGGCTTCTGACAGGTAGTTCATATCAGCACCATAGAGTGATAGGGTGTCAGGCGATTTCCAGGTTGAGTGAGCGTAGAGCTGATTTCAAAGAGATTCCTTCAGGGGTGTGTGAGAGCTGTTGGATGGCCTTTTTTGCTCCCCTGCTTCATGACAGGTCATAAAGAAATTCAGGGTTCTCCTAAGGATTTGTTAAAGTTTGGGGGATTTCTGTCCTTATTCACTGACAATTTTGTGAAGCCAGAGTGTAGGGTTTGGGGGGTTTAGATGCTCTCTTGTGCATTCTAGAGCTTTTCCTGAGCTTTTCAAAAACTTGTAATTTCCCCTGGAAAAATGACAGATTTAAAAGTACTAACGTGTAAGTGCTTTGTTCCCATACTTAGTTATTTTCTATTGTTTGTTGACAAATACATTGCATTGTATAAACTGCAAATAACTTGGTAAATAATGTCAAATCAGCATGATATCGCTTGATTGACTGGTGTTGCAACGCTCATTTTTCTTTAATTTCTTGCGACAAAGTGTGGTTGCCTCCCTCACAAAATTGATCTGTCTTTTAAGTGCTTTTCATATGCTGTGGTAATTAAAGCAAAATGAAGTTAATGTTGGAGCAGAATATCTAGCATTTTTTTTTTGTATTTCTCAGTGCATGATGTGCATTATACTGATACAACCTACATCTGGTATTTGCTGATAATGTGGCATAAAGTTTTCTATTTTATTATGCATGAAAGTTTAACAGAAGTGAAGAACTGGCAAATAACATTCAACTATTGCCCCAGTCAATCACATTTATGAACAAACGGTGAGAAAAATTTTGAGCAAAACAAAACTCTCCACTCAACCATGGCTCAACTTACACTTAAATGTATGAGGTCCCCCCATAAAAACTTATTGCTCTCAACATTAATACAATAACTATAATTTCTTGAGTTTTTGAAATATAAGAAAAAAAACACAGTAGGAAGAAGGTCAGGCATGTCAGGCTTATATGCAGGGCATTAAAATTATCATGTTGTCTGAGGTTCACAAATGTACTGTGTAGCTGCACAGTGGTCAAAAAATCTCTTAAACCACATACATTTAATTTGTGGTTGTGTTTTAATTAAAATTGGAATTCCGAGGAAAAAAATCAGAAAGCTTGTCAAAGAATGATACATCTTATTTCTTTGGAAAAAGCACATGGCAACCATAGAGGAAATCACGAAGCGCAGTCTGTATCTGCCCGTGTACAGCCCTTGGCATGTGCTTAGCTACCGCTCGCCGTTGCTACAGTATGTGGACTAGCCCATCGCACCCAGCGGCAGCCATTCGGAAAAATCATAGTGCATTTCGTCGCTCTGCAATCCAATGTGTCCACGCTCAACAATCTAAACCTTATTCTTTCTACGTATTTCGGAGTTAATTTTTTTCAAAAATGATATCTAGTTTCATGTTGATGAATGGAAAGCCATCAAAATACCACTTGGAAAAAATTCCTGTTGTCAACAGATGAAACCCCAGAAAACTTCACGTTTTTCATGAGTAGTTCAGGCAACTTAAACACTATCCATTCATGCAGAAATTGATGAAAATATTGTGGTCCCTGGGATAGAAATCATTTCAGGACATTGTTTGATAGGGAATCAAAGAACCACAAATTTGTACATTAAAAAATATCCTTGTGTAATTTCTACTATTGGCGGTAGGGAGCAAAAAAAATGGTATCAGGCATTTTTCTTGCATATCGGCAATGATTGGAGGGGACAAAAAATTGTTTATTGGGCCAATACGCAACTTTGTATGTGGGGAGAACCCTGAAATTTGAAAGACGTGCTTTGTTATGTGGACTGTTTGGGAGGAAGTGGGGTACATGAATGTGAAGTGAATCATAAATGTACATGTACAGTGTAGTGTTAATACACTGTGATTTTTTATTTAGTATTCTCATTGTTGCCTTTTTACTCCTTATTTTGGCTGAAGCTCAAAGAACCAGGAAGGGTTTGTTAAAACTATGCTGAGCTGATGGTCTAATTCTTCTCTGTGAGGTCATTTCAGTCTTTTTGTTGTTGTTTTGCCTGCTGTTGGGCTTTTTTTATTTAGGCCAGGTGCATGGAAAAGTTGGAATAGTATTAGGGTGTAGGAAGATGCACCGTATCAGACGTTAGGGCCTACCATACATCATCATTTTCACTAAGGCACAGGCCTATCAGAAATTGGTATTGTATATCCTTTGTTTGAAATGGGACAAGTTTGTCCCTGTGACACTGGTGACTAGTGTGGGTAGAAATTTGCTTGTTGTCTTCGGGGAGGGGATGTGGTGTTTCAATTTTAAATAATAACAGTGATTTTTTGGCCCTGAATTTATTTCAATCTTGTAAAATTGTTAATTCTATCTGGCATTGAGGATTTCCCTTTTAAGATAGAGCTTCCCACAAGAACCAGTGTACATGTACATGTATGTCAGTTGCAGTGCCTTTGTCGTGTTAGTTTTGATGTGACACACAGTTGCTGCTTGTGGTTACATCTTTGATGCATTTCAAGTGCAGCAAGGTTTTTAATATACCGGTATTTGTGTGTGACAGAGACAAGGCATGAAAAGGTTGATGAACAAAAGTTACGACTGTTCAGCCATGAACTACTCCGTATTCTGAAGATTTATATTATGGGGTCTAATGGATAAAGTGTACTGTCTGAGAATATTGCAGAGGTTAAAGTGACATTTGAACAGTACAGTTGTCAGTCTTTGGCTTTTCTCTCAATCACGTGGTCGCACTATAGGGCGCGTAAGCCTTCTCAATATTGCCAAGGGTTGATGAACCGTATCAACCCAATGATCCATGGCAGACAGGGTCTTCGGAATTGTGGTGGCTGGAACTACATGTAAGTTGTACGGTAGCATCAGTAAGTCAACCTGCTGCCTGTATGGTAGTCATCAGCCGGGGTCATGATGAGGGAAAATGGCACTAGCAGGGTTTACATCTACATGTATGGCAGGATGGCCTTCACAGGACCGGATACTACCTGTCTACATGTACACGTACATATGCCCAGCAGTCGAAAGTACCTGTACATGCACATGTACATGTATGTACCCCCCCCCCCGATAATGGAAGATGTGTATACAATAACACAATTTGAACTGAGAAGTTCCTTTTGTAGGCCTGCATGCATGTTGCATTGACGGGCAAGTGGAGCCTACCCCTTAATTGCTTACCTTTGTCTAGTCGTACATGTACATGATGTCACGTTGATGGGCAAATTACCCTTACATACATGTACCACTACAGTGTACATACAAGTCTTTTTTTTTTTTTTTTGTCACCTTTCAAATCTATCTTTTCAAAATATGGAACAGTGTATTTTCTGTTACTGAGGAATTATATTTTCTTTGCCAAATTTTGTTATTTTGCATTTTGGGTAGTTTTGTTTGGGCGGATTGAGGTCTAGGCTGGCCATCTTCATTGTGCATTTACATGAGCACTGTTGGATATTGTTTTAATTGACTCACTGAAAAAATGAAGATCGTTTTTATCTTGTTTACTATCTTTTGTGAAGTGTAAATTCACTGTCACAAGTATAAACCGGTACAGTATTTACTCCTATGCATTATTCTTAAGGGGAAACCCCATGGCCATGGAATGACATGTCTCTGAATTAATGGAGTCTGTCTTGGCAAACTCTTCACATCACCTGGCAAACCTCATCAATAATTCATGAGTATATCCTTGTGAGGGTCTTTTTTTCCATGCCAGGTTCTGTAGAGACATAGCGGTCATTGACCTGACGGTATCTGAAGGGTCTACACTTGGCAACAAGATGAGAGGCTACAAAATTGATCTGGTGTTTTGCAGCTAAAATGCCCAACCTGAATTCATAATCCTTTTTTTTTTAACTTCTTAAATTCTACATGTATTTAATTGCATATACTCAGTCTTGTGAGATTTGACCAAGGATCCAAAGGTAGATTAAATAACAAAGTCATCATTTCTGCACTGTTGGCACAGCTTATTCTTAAGTTGGGCATCATGCTTTCTGGCATCTTTAAAAATGATGCAAGGTTGGATCAAACAATTGACCATTGATGCATGGTCTGTACTAAATGTTTACTTCGGTCAGTGTGTCCAGAGATGCCCATTTATAATTCTGTAGAAAAGCTTTCAAATTTACTAACTTTATACACAGTGTGGTTGTTGCTTTTGACTGGTTTTAACTGAAACATGATGGGCGAGCTATTATTACTATCTTGGCACCAAATTCCTACCAAATTTGGTCACAGATACATGTAGAATGGCTTGTGTGTTTTATTAATCCAGACCTATTCCTTCCAAAAGCCTATTGGTATCTGTAGCATGCCAGAATTAAAAAATTCAGATATATTTTATTGAGTCACAGTCACAAAGCCTTCTAAAATAAAAGGGATTATTTACTTGCAATTGTGGTTGCCTTGTAAATTATGATCTGAAAACCTGTCACATGGAAGTGCATCAGGTATCTTTCTTAGAAGATTTATTGGAAGTGTATAAAAACCTCCTCTACCATGCATCCTTTTAGTGCATCACAGTTCAAGTGAATCAGAACCCCAAGTTTGGCCAGGAAAGTGTGTTGACCTCATGCATGATACACCATCTCCTTCTCTGTCTGTGCCAATTCACCTCCTTTGCAGGACGACAACCCTAAAACTGCCCAGCATCCTGTGTTCCAGCGCTACACTGAGGTGAAAGCAGAGGTGGATAAATGGCTGCATGAGCAGAAAGTGCAGCACATATTGATGAAAGCGCCCTACCCCCTTACTGGGTATCGTGTGCAAGTCTACCGCCTTGGCTCTACCACCCAGTGGTTCTCAGCTGTCATTACTGGTCATGATCTCTACACAAGGGTAAGCTAAGCAAAGTCAAAGTTGGAGTCGAGTCCATCACAAGTCCTTTCACAAAGCCAGTCATAAGGAAGAGAAGAGAATAATAACAAATGAATGCTTTTGTCACAGCTCATTTGAATAGCTTGTGAGTTGACGTTAGACTGAATGGCTTGTGATGGACTAAAGAGACTTGCAGGGTCTTGTGATGGACTCAAATACAACACTGTTGAAGCTCCTCCCACTTAACAGCCACTGTCACATACTGTACCCTTTCCTCCATTGCTCAGCCATTCTTCATGTATAGTGACCATTGAATATCAGCAAAACACTTCACCGTGGTGTGACTGCAATCAATCGCACAATTATTTTTGGCACTCCCATTTATTTTACCTGTTAGTGTATCTAAAAATAACAGTCCTTGATGTGTAAAGATCAGGTGTGGAACTGTTGAACTTGCACAAACAGTACATGTGACCTGCAGTTCAACTTTGCATCTAGACGTGACTAGTCAGTTCAAGCCACTTTCGTGGTTAAACATCTCTAATTTAAGGTCACCTTTAGATATTATGTTCCAGCTTTCAGCTCAACCAAACCACATGATTCATGATTTGTTCTAGCTCCTCACAACAAAGAGAAATATTGTACTCAGGGAAATTCATTCTAGGAATTCCGTTCCCTGCAACATTAACCCCCCCTCCACCTCAGCTCTGAAAGAAAGTGTAGTGCACCCCGGGCGTTGTTTACTCATGGAGCCAAATGAAGCCACGCTGTTGTCTCATCCTGTCCGCACGGTCCTCTCCATGAGGTGTGGGAGTTGCTCCAAGGCACATATCCCAAGTGCTTTCGTGTCCGAACAAGCGTACCGTGTTATCCCGAAATATTATGCATGGAAGGATCTCAGTTTGGAGTCTAAACTGTATGAATAATACACCCCCAGGCTGCTCTATATAATGTAGAACGGGAATACTGTGTTTTGTGATGACGAGGGAGGATGAAAAGCGGACGCAGAAAGTGCGACGGAGGGGGTGGGAGACGCAGAAGGAGATGGATTGAAATCAGACTGATTGCAATTCTGATAGGAAATTCAAACCTGCGGGATGAGATTTATACAGCGGGCTTTGCAAATACCAGAGGTCACAGGCTACTGGTAACTCAGGACGTGTGTGGGCAACAGTGGCAAGTAGGGAATGGTGTAGCCTCTTGACGGAAAAAAAAACTGGGCAAAAATGACATGGTAAGAGATTACAAAGAGATGTGAAGGAGAACAGTAGCCTGCTTAATGTTTCAGATGCAGCTTTTGAGAGAGTGAAGAGAGGAAAAAAAATATATATTTATAAATCTGCCTGGACCCAGAGTCCCTTGCGACCTCAGAAGGGAGCAGCTGTTTTTCTCTCTTAGCTGACTTTGATCAGATGAAAGTTGAATGAAATTTTGCAAAAGCAACCCTCAAGGTCATTGTAACATGTAAGTGGCTTTGAATGGCACTCCTTTTTTTTCTTATAGAAAAAGGAATTTGGTTAAGGGTCGTGCCAGCTCTTATTTACTGCTCAGTTTCATCATGGTCTGCTGTATGCTCCACTTTGCCTTTGGTCCTTTTCCTCTGGGCTGAGGGATTGGAATTTAGTTATACATTACCAAAATTGTATTTGGTTAGGCGGAGCTGGAATTAACTTGCAGTTTTAGCGCTGTGAATAGAGATGACTCAAATATCATATGCATTGGGGGCTACCAATGAGTTTTGAAGGGATACCATTTAGTCCTCTGGTGTAAACTGTCAGGAATACATGTACATGTATGGCCAATAAGGTGTTATAGCTTGTCAAATACAATCAGCCTGACCTCATCAAACTGGATTTAAGTGCTGACTATCATGCACAGCCGCCTTGTGCAGTGCCAGTTGTTTGTTGCCCATTGCTACCTGCTTGGCAGATCAATATTTAATAGGGTCCATAATTCCAGTGCTGAGTACAAGGGAAGACAGGTTGACCTTGCTGTTTTGATAAGCAGGGCAGTTTCCCCCCCCCCATAATTTTTTTTTTTTCATGTATGAATGCCTATTAGGCCTGAAGTAATAAAATGCACTCTGGTTTTGTGTTTGTGCACTGAATTATATACTGTCAAACCCTTATGCCCAGATATGTGTGTCGTGTGTTTATTCACACACTGCAAAAGGCCAAAAAATTATTTACCTGGCTTTGATCATCAGCACATTGCACCTGCTGGGGAGTCAGAGTACCGGTACCTGGCCAACGATTGGATAGAATTAGTTAGGTCAGCACGTCTGCCACTGCCAGGCAAGATGAGCGAGAGGTCTGTGAACTCCCTGATGCGAGGGACAAAGTCCTCTGGATCATCCTGTCAGATCTCATGCCCTCTTCTCCGTCAGGCTGTGATTTGAAATTGCTCCAATGCATAAATTATCGCGCTGTGAGCCCCGGCTTTTATGCACCGAGTGCCTCAATCAGATGCACCAAGTGCCTCAATCGGATCCAATAAATATTGACCAAGAACTAGTCAACTAAAACAGATCTTTTGCCATGCTACAGGAGCGGCTGTTTCCCTGAAGGCAAAGTTGGCATCTTATGCTGGCCTACACCTCACTGGCTGTAGATTATGAGCTATCAGCTTTTTTTCCTCCTCTTCCTGGCATGCTATACACTCTCAGCACTTCTGTTCTAGGCAGATACCTGCAGCTGATTAGGAATTCGAATTTAAACTGGGTCACTAGTTCCAGTTTCCTAACTACGGTAACATTGAAACTTCATGTAGGTTAAATCCAACAGATTATAGTCTTATAGATTATTTTGTTTAGATTATAGTGCTGTTATGGGCATGTGATTAGTGGCGATACTCTGTACACAGTTGTCAGTGTTGTCTTGATTTGATCCTTTTAACTCCCCCCCCATCACCACTACCACCAATGATGTATTTTTTGTGAAGAGTGCACTATCACATGCTGTCAGCTTCTCAACCTTTATAACGCCATGGTGTCGCGTCTCTCATTACCTCACTTATTGTTTCATAAAGGCACTTTGCAGCTTAGAGATAGTCCAAGGGCTATTATCATCGTCATCATCGCCATCATTGTTGAGCTTTTCGCTTCCCAACAGCCAACTATTGGTGCTGCCCCTCTCTCACTATCTCCTTCCCCAATGTCCTCCCAAAGAATTTTGAAGTGGCAGGGCATCTTGCAGTGTGGGGAATCCCTGGAATGTCTCTTTGAGTCCCGTCTGCCTGCCTGTATTTGGCCTATGGAATGCCGATCGTGGCCACCATCGTTCCCATGATGGGTTCCTCTCACGAAATGCAAGGCTCTCAGAAAAGGGGAAAAGGGAAGGGGAGGGGGGCGAGAAAGCATGCCTGGGAATTTCAACACACACATCTAAATCCTAAGCAAAGTGATCAGTGCAATTGGTTGTTATGATAAAAGCTAACAAAAATAAATTGAATTGATGGAGAGCTAAGATTTTGTTCACCATGTATTTTGTTGTGTAACTTATTAGGTTAGAGTCATTTACAGCTTGTGCTATCAAAGTGCAATAACAATGGGTTTTGAACCTATTGCCCCATCATGCCATACACTTGCAAGAATATTTTGCACTGCTTGCCTTTCAGAAATTCATAGTACCCAGTATACATGTATGCCTGGCTAAATCTCATAATACCCCAATGATTTGAGCTAAAAACCGTGCACAGTGTTAAATAGCCTTAGTTGTCTTTATTGATGCATTTGTTTCTTGCAAATTCAATACAGTTTTGCCCATAAATTGCATCAACCTACTGAATTATTGCCTAAATGACCTTATGACCAGCGTAAAGGTCTCGGTTGCCCACAGAAACAATATATACTATTGTTCGAGTATCCCAGCCTGTCAATAAATATTTCACTTACACTTTCCTGAAATGTAGGATTAGGAAAGCATGTCTCACTTTCATAACCTGTGACATCGTGTGGGAGGCTGATCCGCAAGTTCAAGGCAGGCCTTGTAATGTGGGTTTTTTTTAGTCAGACCTGAACTGGATGGTTATATTGTAATGATATAGTTGATTGGCCTTTTAGTGCCCCCTTCAGTGTACATCAACGCCTGTCATGCCTAGCACTTACAGTTGCTGGCATAGAAAGTCTTCCCTGGCCCAGAATTAGGTCACTGGGCAAAAGTATACCAGTACTTCAGTGTTGCTTGTGGGGTGTTCCAAGCTGAAGCATGCTGAATGCACAATTTGCTGAAAGCATCTGGTTTCTCTGTATCCCTTCCACTTGCTGAGGAAGAAATGGTTGGATGAAGGTTACATGCATTTTACTGCTGAACAGATTTCAAAAATACTTAGGTTGGGCAAACCAGCATGATTCATGACAAGCCATGGGGTTTACAGATCTATCAAGGGATGACTTGACTACATTTATGGCAGCTCCAGTAAATTATGCAAGTGTTTGATTTCTGTCCATAAAATATAAGAGAAGGCACATTGTTACTTTGTGATGATGTTCCATTGGGCAAATATGCCGCATGCAAGCCACTGAGACTACATGTTACATGTAATGGTAAATATTTTAACTAATTTGGATACAGGTGAGCCGACACTTTGAACATGAACTGTATGTGTATGAACTTTATGAAGCTGTCAGGAGCATGGAAGTAATGGCATTCACATGAGGCTTTTAGTGAAGTGGATAGGGTTTGTGACTCCCAATTATAGGGTTAGGGGTTTTACATGTACATGTAAGCAAACTGGTTACATGTGACCTTGGACAAGTCACTTTACCCATACTTGCTGAAATGCTACACCAAATCCTAAGTCAGGGCTCGAAATTAGCCTGCGCTGGTAGCTGAAAAATGCTCGTTTGTCTCATGAATGTGCCCCTTAATTTTGAAGAAAAGCGCAAGTATTAACGCCTGTTTTTCTCTTGCCGTGAATTCTTTTTACTTAAGATCACCCTTGTCATGGAACCACAACATGAGTACAATTTTTTTTACGATGTCCCTGAGCGCAGCAGGCTCGTATGCACGCACACACACACAGCGCATTTTGCATGCTACACGCGGCCTGCAGGACACCGAACAGTACTGGAGCTCCATAATGCACACAAGTGAATCTACTGTACATACACACGTGTACATGTACAGCACATGTACACACATGTACAGTATGTGCATACAGTGAATATGTGTCTGCTGTGCGGCCAGCTCGAAGCGCAAGCCTTGTGTGTAGAGCATCCTGGGACCATCTGGTCATTGTGTTGTGATTGGCTGCCAATGGAACATCAATATTCATTCATACATGTGTCAGTTGGAGTCATTACATCCATTCCTGCGTGAGCGGAAGTAGTAACTAACAATCTCCACTATTAACATTCACTGTGAATTTACGGCTTGAAATAAGGTTAGTAAATTTTCGCTTTCACCGATAGAGGGTTGCATGATAACTGTCACGGGGCGTGCAAAGTTACTGAGTCATGCATCTTCGCATGGGTTTTTCAGTGCTCTATTTGCATTGTTTGGTACAAGATTTCAAACATTTCTTGGACATTAACTTTTCGAAATGTCAGTGCAACACAAATGTATAACTGTCCAAACAGATTCTGAATTGGATACAATCTTTCACAAGTTCAATCCTCAAGTTACAAATCCACGAGAAAAAAAGATGAAGTGGATGGAGTACACTGTAGACCATCAAGATCACTTTTTACTGGGAAAAAAATCCCCCACCCCCAAATTTTTGACCAAAGAACTTTAGAAGAAAAAAGAAGTACTTCCCACCTACTCAACGTATTTTTTCTATGTAATCATGATAATAGGAAGCACAACTTTTATTTTGTTTGGCCTTAAGCTTAAGCTGTTCAATTTTCTAGAACACATTACGTTAACTGACAGATTCAGTTGGGGAGCAAGTACTTACTCCAATGATTGTTAGCCCGATTTCAAGCCCTGTGAGTCCTGTGTGATTGTGTCACGATGATACATGAATGTGATACTACTAACTTCCATTATGCATGTGATGCGTTAACACCCAATTATCTACCGCCTTTGTACACTTGCTTTTGCAGGAGTTGGTTGTAATGGATGACACAGTGCTGGAGAGTCACACAGAGAATCCAGCTCTTGTCCAGATGGTCTTTCTTGATGATGGTAAGCCCGTGATCTATCCTTGTTGCCCCTCCCCCATGTCCATTCCTAGTCACATTGTTTGCTATTGAATTAGGTCTCCACTCGCTCGTATTCATGGTAACATTATTGTCTGAAAAGTCGTAATTAACCACCTGATAACGAATGACATGTAAACACAAATAACTTTCTTTATTTGTTCCATGGAGGACGTGCACACTCGTTTATCTTTAAGAATTCCTTTTTCATTACCACAGTTAACGTAGTAACATGTTGTGCTTGGTAAGGTCAAAGTGCACTTGCAAGGTTGAAGAATTTGCGGGTAAAAAAAACCCTGCCCAGCAGCTTTTTGGGTAATAAAATTTGACTGGTTAATGCACTTTCGTTCCTTAAGACGCTAGAAATACACGTTAAGACTTGTTATGTTCAGTTCTGAAACAATGCTGTCAAAAAGTGGCATCAATTTTGTAATCTCTCTGAACATGCTCCTATTTGACATGCACATTTCTTGCATGCTTTAACTGGTCCAAAGTAACAAAAAAATGGTATCCCTTGCTTCACATTTTTTTTAAACATGCATTTAATTTCAATTACTGTTGTAATTGATTTATGGTCATAAATCACAGGTAGGATCATAGGATATTTCTTAATAATTAACCTAGCTTTGAAGGCAAAGCCAGGTTCACACGCATACTGTTCACATTTTGCAGCATCTGCTGGAGACTGAAAAACTTGTCATTGGACATGCACATTGTACGTGTTCATTCTCCTGAAAGTTGATGCCCGATCAGATTGAAGAAAGTTTATATTGAAAGTTCATTCCATCCTTTTCATTCAAGTACCATGCCTGCATCAATCTGGAGACATGAAGTTTTACTGACTTGATGACACACATGCACATCGACATATATATGTACTTTACCTGTAGCCTATGTGTATTTTTCACGTCTGTAGTTCTCACATGTCTGGTCAGTAGTGTTAAAAAATCCCCTTAATGGATTTTGTTTACGAGTGGTTTTTTTTTTTTAATGAGATGTGATCATTTAAAATTTACATTGGGAAATGCATCTTGCCCTGAATCAAGGACCCAGTCATTGTCTTGTGGTTACACAGTAACACAATACCTTGGGTCGCTCACTGCAGCTAGTGTGAGGGTTGTGCATTCTTGCACAATGCAAGTCTGGCTGGAGCAGCCCAGCCCACCAGATCAGAACAAATTCTAAACTGTGAACAAGTTGCAAGGCCTAGTGTTTGACCTTGAGACCCCTTGGCAAGCCTGTTTTTATGTTGGGTGACAAATTGCACCTTCTAAGTGGGGAAGAGGGAGGCTGCACCTTGCAAGTTGAGAAGAGTGAGGCTACGTTTGCCATTATGTGGGTATGCCTAGGACCTACTGAAAAAGACTCGCACCTTGTTCTATGCATTTGTAATTTTGTGTTGGCCAATTCATCAGGATTTGGGATTGTATTTACCTATAGCCTGTACACGTATTTGTTGAAAACACACTTGGAGATTAGAGTTCTTGGCACTTCACTCAAGTGATTTTTAATGCTTCATGTGCAGTCAACTAGAAGTCACACCCCTTCCATTATTAGATTTGACCAAATAAATTGCAAGTACATTCCCTAATGTCTGACAAAATCCAATTTCCAGTATTACTTTATTTTATTTAGTGGTACTGAATCAAATTTTGACCTTTTTTTCTGTTTAGCTGTAGAAATTTTTCTTAGCATGATGACACTTTGCCAGCTGCTTGCTGTTAAGTTTATAAATGAGGCTTGCCTCTCTCAAAATTTTATTTTGTTTATTCTAATCAGTAATTTGTTTTCTCTTATCTTTTCTAAGTGGTGAGTTCCTTGCTAAAGGGGGAGAATGTTGGCATAACCCCTCGCCGCAGAGTCAACACAGCTAATACAACACAAGCAACAAACACGGTAGGTTTTCTAAATATGGAAGGGGAACACTAAGCAGTTTTGTCCATGCAAAAGCCGCAGACCTGCGGTGGTTAAACTGAAAATGGCACAACTCGTATTGTTGAATTGGAATAGCTACACAAAGTACAGGTGACACATTTTTTGTGATAGCTTGCATATTTTCTGACGGTCCAAGGTGGAATGATGGCCTACTATGAAGGTTTACACTGCTGAAGTAGAAAGTACTTGAATATTATACAAATATTGACTGATTGAGATAGAGTGAGTAATTTAATCTAAATACAAGTAAAATGAATCTCTATTAGACTACAACATTTGTTGTAAATGCACCAGCTATTTTCCAATCTACCTGTTCATGAAATGTTTGAACTTTGAATGCAGCACTGTTGCACAAGCTCCTTTGAGTGCATCAGTGCACATACCCACTTGCACACGTTACTGGTTCTTATGCGTGTTGCTATTGGCAAAGTATTTTGGTTACTACAAGAGTAGCACTATTGAGGGTGCACAGCAAGATGTCAAAAAGATCAAATGCCATATATAGCAAGCTTTCGGCCAATCAAGATACAGAACCAGTCAGTGAGGTGTTAAACCAACCACTGACACAATTTCTGAAAATAATAGTCTCTTTTAATTCCTGAGCATCCATGTATGGAAAATGACGCTGAAAAGCATTCTAGAAAATTCTTTGAGCACTATTTCTGGTGGCAAGGGTGCTTTAATATAATTTTTTGTGACTGAAAGACGATTACAATAATAGGACATTAATATGTAAATATTAGATGTTAAAATTACAAGCAGATGTCTGTGGTGGCCATCTGCAGTTAAGAGCACAATGGGGAACACTGGACTGGTTTGTGCTGTCTAGATGAAAATGCCAACGCTCCCCTTTCTTCCCATGGGAACAGAAATATTAGCCCCACCCCCTTTTTCTGTTTCACCCGGTCTTGCCTGATTGGCAAAATCTAAATGCTGTAGCTTGAGGTGAGACAGCAAATCTCTGTTAAAGGGATTGTAGACTCACTGAAAAATTGTGTTGGTTGTGGTAGCATGTGAACTGGTTGGGGGAGGGGTTTAGAATAGAAAATTTTGTGGACAAGTGCTGCTAGGACATTTGTTGCCTAACTGATCACCTGCAGATGCACACCTGCATAACAAATTGATTGGTCACCTGACGTGTGCGAATTGTATGACCGGAACATAAAGAGTGGCATGAGTGCATCAAGATCACCTAAGATACATGCTGTAGATTTTCCCCCCGGGACCACTTGTGAATTTCCATTTTTAGCCGGTTCAGAACCAATCATGCTTTTCAATCTTGTAATTTGAACCAATAGGTTGCTGCTCCAGCAGGAAATCCTGCGTCAATTGACTCTGCACCTAATTTTTTCTCTTTTTCACTCTCTGTACCAATAACAATCGGCCTTGAATGCAGGAATGATGGATCTTTGTGCATGATGGCTATTGTGTGCCTGTAATTACTGCCCCAGTGCATCGTCAGAGCATATTATTCATGGACAACACCTTTTGATGCATAGGTGCTCAATGGCTTTGTTGGAACAGACCAGTAAATTTCTCCCCATATGCTAGAAATTCCGGTCGCGTTTTCCACTGTTGACTGTCAACTCTTAACCTCAAGCATAAATTTGAACCATGGGGGAAAAGAAATCTCAAAGGAAGAGATATTCAGGTATTCATGACTGAACATGCTTGTCTTGTGGATGAGATTCAAAGAGCTAGCGTATATGTCTGTAACTGCATCTGTGATTTCTCCATGAACTGCATTTATTTGTTGAATTTTCATCCTGTCAGCAGAGTTGGGGAAAGTAGGAGGCTGTTGTTTTTTTTTCATCAAGGGAAATCCAGCTCAAAAGTTGGGTTATATGCATGTATATGAAAATGTTGCAGTCAGTTTGCAATGTCTCACCTTGTGTAGACATCTCTCAGACTGGATTCAGAAAGTATTTAGCATGTTTTTTTATTATTATTATTAGTCACTAAGTGAATTAAAATTTCCTGTTGTGCCTAGTGGTCAGTATCTACTGGTACATGTATATTGGAATGTGCATATGGTGGGGTGTGATGTGAACGTGTAGGGAACAGTCACATGCGCATGATTTAAAGATGCTGGATGTGTCATGGATCACATAACGACATTTGTAGGCCACATTAGGCAGCCAGTTTTTGCGAACAAAACTTCCACTGTGTAAAAGTAGATAAAAATTGTGTCTGGGTTTTTTAATCTAATGGGGAGCTTGGTTTCCAATTTAGGTCCAAGGCCGAAGTCCATGAAGCTGCCAATCAAGAAATCATTACTGAACAAATGTACAGGTGTTGAAAACGTTCATCCAAGACCACAGTCGTTTTGACTGGTGACCTGTTTTTTTTTGCTAAAGCAAGCATTATCTGTGATGATTTCTGTGTCCAGCTGCACAGTGGAAGGGGCACCAAGATTGTGCACTGTCTCTTGTTCACTTCCTTGTAAGAGTTTTTCTCTCCCCCCCCCAAAAAAGGGTACATTTTCGAGACCAGCTCCCCGAAGCCACAGCCCAGCAGGTCAGCCACCAAACCAGCAACCCCTGCCCAGCAAGAAGAAGACTCCACGTTCTAAATTAGCTGATGTCCCAGAAGTCGAAAAAGACAAGGACAAAGACAAGGAGGAAAAAGAGAAAGACAAAGATAAAGGTAGGAATTTGTTTTGACAGTGGTGCTGAGAAACTTGCCGACCTTGTTGTATGTTTTTTTTCCCCCGAGTAGCTGGAAAGTGCTGGTTGATGATTGTGTATTTGGCAGCTTTAAAATTTCCATTACTTTCCGTTGAAGGTGAAGGAAATTCAGTCACAGTGAGTAATCAATAGGAAAGTGGCTTACGTGTACATTGAAGTGTTTAGAAATTGTGTCTGGGTATTGTCTTTGTGTTCACAGTGTGTCATACACATGCCAGCATAATCAAGTGAGAATGTCCTTGAAGTGGATAAGTAGGTATTGATAAGACCATGGAGCTATAAAAAAAACTCCATGACAAGACTGAGTATATTGTTGTGGATCCAATATAAGTGTGTCTCTGTAATAAACCTTTTTCTGAGCAGTAGTAACCTTGATATGTCCATCATGGTGTTTCCCCTTGATTGGCTTCAAAGTGAATCAAAATCAAACTTTTGCACAGTGGTTTATTTTTATCTGCACCATTAAGCAGGAGGTCTTTGGTTGGAGTTCCACCCGAGCAAGCTTGTGAATTAATCAGCAAGGTCACTGCGGCATGAACATGAGTTAATGAGGGTATTGTATGGGAGGTCTCCAGTCAGTGGACAAATTAATCACTCCACAAATGGCACTCTGATTATTTTTATTCAGTCAGAGGGTATCCCATTCACTCAGAGACTCATACGCGTCACATCCTCAAAAAAAACAACAACAACAAACAAACAAAAAACAAAACAAGTACATGTATAACACACAGTTGTTGGGATTTTGTTCTCTTTAGACTGGTGTCCAAGGCGGTAGCATTTGGCCATATGAGTGCTTGATCAATTACTTATTGTTTGCCTTCCATGTGCACAGTCTCACCTCACCCTCTATTCTTGGTGGGTGAGCAGAGATAAAAAGGCAGAGCAGTGATTTAAGAAATGCCGTTTGCCTGCCCGCCTGGTAATGCATGTAATAACACCGGGGTGATCTAGATTTGAATGTGGCCTGATTTATACTATAGTGCCAGGTCATTCTTCATCAAGTTTTTGTGCCATTGGCCCATGTTTTCCTGTCATTGACCGTATTGTGTAACTCACTCAAAATTGGAGTGGATTGAGCCAGGCCAGAGTTCTTTTCCCCATGCCCCAACAATTCAGTTCAGTCCTTAATCTGCACAGAAACTGACTTCTTGTTTTCAAAGCGGAGGAGGGAAAAACATGTTTGTAGTTTGTACCATTTCTGTGCAAGGGCAAGAGCCTGTGTTTCTCATACTGCCTTTGATTGCTGTTTCAGTGTGTGGCAGTGCTTTTGTTTGGTTACTGACTTGGCATTTGAGTAGTTTGGTGCTGTTGTTTCATCAGCTGAATTCGAATTTCAGACAGTATTTCCAGGAAGATTTACTGCAAAAGGTATTTTTGTTGAATTTGTTGGTGTCATGATGGGAATTGGGCCCCCCTGCTGGACAATCAGAATTGCGACAACTTCTGGTGAAGGAAGAAGGGCAAATTGATAAAAGCATTGCTCAAATCTATCTGCTTGCTGAATTTTGGCAGTGGTTAAAATCGTCTCCTGAAATGGTGTACTTTAAACAGTACAGAGCTCTGTAATCATACCTTACTAAGCACAAACTACATTTGAGTTTCTACTAAATGGGTCTACATGTGTGGCACATGAATTTCATTTACTGTGCATGCTGTCAGAGTGGCTTTATGAATACTGTTCACATACACTGGTTGCAATTAAGCATAGCATATCACCTTTTGACCATACATGTAGTTCCAAGAGATACCTTGTATCAGGCAGTCAGACATTATTAATGGGATCGATCTTGGTCGATGAAGTCACAGGTGCCATCAGTTTTGTCTCCTCCCCCTAACCCCCAGGTTTTGTGGACATTGTTTATGGGATCTGACTTGGTCAAGGAAGTCACACATGCCATCAATGTTGTCTCCTCAGTTGTCCCCCCCCCAAGGGTTTGTGGACAAAGACAAAGCTTTGCTCCTGCATGACAGGAGCAAAGGTCAATGGCCAGGAGAGGGAGCCTCACTGTCCAGCATTCCCTTGCCCTGCAAGACAAGATGGTCAGTCTGTGTAGCAGTATTGGCATTATAATCAAATCATATCCAGAAGCCGTCAGAAAAGATTTGCAATTATAATATCACCTGTATATTCATCACACATTGAGTTTGGTCTTCAAAAATCTGAGGAGCCAAGATACGCGAGTTTATGAAGAAACAAATCAAGTTTGATATTTTTACTTGCCCCTGACATCCTCACAATAATTCCCCCCATGTAAGAGCAAAAACAACCATAAAAACCTGAAAAAACCAAAAGGGAACCATTGGAATAATTAGTTGTAATTTAAAAATGTCATCCTTGAAGTTTCACCCTGTTACAATTCAATGATACAGTTACACATGTATGGATGACAATCGCAGGTAGAAAATATCCACTTATGATAGCTCCCTGGCAGGCCTTGTTTTGCCTCATTAATAATAGAGGTTTCAAAATGCAGTGACCTTTTTTCCCGATTCTGCGGGCTTGAGCATTTTAGGTCACAGGTTGGGGTTGTTGGTAGAGAGCTAGTAGCCATGCGGTGACGCACCTGAAAATGTACCCTGTACTGTACATGTATATTTACATGTACATAGGCCTACATGTAAGCATGGTCAGGCCATACTTAGGTGCACAGGCAAACAGTGGATCCAGTTGATTCCAGAAAGGTACTTGTAGGGTGTGTATATTTTGTGGTTAAGCCCTCTGCAATTTATGTATTGTGTGAGTGAACTACAGACTTGTGGATTACAGGGGAATGTACAACAGAAGTGAAAGGGATAATCTCTCACTGGAAGCTCTCTCTGGAAAATCAGTGTCTTCCTCATGAATATTAATACTGACCGCAACTTGAACCTGGAAATTTCCGGCTAATGGGAATTTGTTGTTTTTGGCAGTGAGTTCAGTTTTGTTATGTTGTGTGGGTGCTGTTTGTATCCAAACATACAATTTGTACGGAGTAGCAAAACAAGGAAGATGTTACTGGTAGATATTGACCTGTTGACACAGGGAGTTCTCTCAGACAAGATCGATGATGACCCACTCCCTGTTATTACATGTACATCTGTCCTCCCCCCCCTGTTTACTTATTTCTTCCACATCTAACCACCTCATCTTTCTTCAACGACAGCAGGCCCTCCTGAAAAGGGGGGTGCATTCATTTTGACAAGCGTTTTAAATGTCATTGGTGATTGGCTGGGGGGAGGGGGAGGCATGGCCAGTGGCGTCATATCTGCGCCGTTTATGAAACTAGGTCAGTGGTGAATAATACGCACAGGCGACTGCATGGCCGGGAGATGCAACACTCCACAAAATAGTGCTTAAAAGCATCATGTCTCTATTTTTTTTTTTCCCAGGCATGAACTTGAAGGAGAACAGCATTTTCACACACGTGGAGAATGTTGATCAAAAAAACTACCAGTACCACACTCTCCAGAGGCATTTGCGCTATGTAAAAATCAAAATTCAAGTGCTTGCAAATGAACCTGAAGGGTTGTGCTTGTGAGTTATAAAACACAGCGTTACTCAGGCGGCACGAAAAACATGGAATTTGATACTGCCTGTTTTTGACAATTACAGACGACCTCATGTGGCCATAACCATTATCATGTAGTAAGAAGCACTTGTGCAGACAGCAGCCTTTAAAGTACAAATTGAGTGTAACTGCACATGTAGGGCAATAAGAACAAAGCCCTTAATCCATTGCTTCTTTATGGACTCTGCAGTATGTGAAGAGAAGGGGTGAGATGAAAGTAAAATGTTTAATTTGAGTACAGTCAGCCAGTCATGGACTGGAGGCCAGGCTGCAACAAGAATAATGGCCCTCCCCCATGCATATGGCTATTTTTGATAAGGGTGACGCTCCTCATGTGAAGGAAGATCGTCAGTGATGGTTCCAGGAAGTTCTAATCGAAACAGAAAGGTTTGTTCCCCACAATGCGCACAGGACTTGTGAGCGGAAGGGATAGGTTGTAACACAGTTGGTGGGTACATGTACCATCCTACCAATATCATGAGGTCATCTACCTCTTGGCACAGGAAGGCATAATGGAAATGGGCTTGGCCCAGGTGAGAGGTCACTGTGGGTTGCCCAGCAGGTTGTCCCATGCACATGTTCATGTACATCACCAGCTGGAATCAACAGAATTTGGCTGTGTAATTATAGTTCTGGTTAGTGTTCCATTAATTACTCATTTAGTTTAGCAATCTGCCACAGAGATTGATCAAACTGCTTAAAAAAACAAAACAAAATAGTATGATTAATGGGCTGTAATTCCCAACAATGATAAGCAGACTACCTGGTAGTTTGTCTGCTCATTTCAGGTTCTGCTTTGTTTATCTTTAGTCTCTTGTAGTTCAGACCCGAATTTCCTTTCTTACGGGTTGAGATGTTGGGTATTAGGAAGCAAGGAAATGGCTTTGTTTGATTTTTGACCCAAACAGCAGAGACCCTGCATGTGGGTCTGCCCCAGTTTCTTTTATATTTCCTTGTCTGTGGTGAGTGAAAGACAATGTGCTTTTTAAAAAAAAAAAAAAAAAGCTTGAATCAAGCAGGTGTCCGTGATGTCATGCTTTTTGAATGAGAATGGAATTAGTGGATAGGTTATGCATGATTCAGAAACGTGATGTGATGTGTGACAAAAAGAACAATCTATTTTTGTCTGCCTCATCACCACAGAATTAACCTTGAAAAAGAAAAAAATAAACGTAACAAAAGCCCAAAAAACATCCAGGTCACACAATCATCTTTTTATCTACTGTCGGGTTGATGTGTGTTTTCTGTGGAACAATAGGAGACCATCCCTGAATATGTGTACACCTGCACTGCACAATGTAACAGAATGACTCATTGGCTGGCCACTGAATGGCCTATTGATTGAGTGTCTAAGTCTGTGGTTGGTCGAGGTCACCTGACTGGGAATATAGCATTGGCTGGCAGTACT